CCCCCCCCCCTTTGCTGAAAAGGCGCTCCCCACCGCACGCGCAGCGCATCGTGCAAGGAATCGCCCGAACTCTCCGGCGCCGCGCGCCGGAGCAAGGTGGCCGGGCTCTCAGCCAGGGAGACCAACAAAGGGAACCCCTCCTGAACGAAGCGTGGATGGCTGTGTTTTGGGCTGTTTGTTTTGGACTGTGGTAGGGCCCACTGCGTGGGTCGTACTGCGGGGGAGTTGTGAAGCGAAGGTTTCGTGATGGTGTTCTTGGTTTTGCGCGATGGTCGACTCCGTCAGGCACCGGAGTCGACCCAGTGCCACTCTCTGTGTGGCGGTGGCATCCACCGCGCAGGTCGAACGACGCGCCATGCACCGTTTGCAGTTCAAGTGTCCACTGGATGGTCGCAGTCCACCCGCACCTGAAGCACGCACCGTGGTAGAACCCACGGATGGACAACACACGGCTCCGTGGCCATGTTCATCAAGGTGTGATGTGGAATGCTGGGCTGTGAAATAAAGATGCAGCATTCGGAGCTACCTATTAAAAAAAAAAAAGTGTTTGTCGATAGTCGATCGCCCAAGAAGATGGTGGAATTCACAAGAATTAAGCCAGGTCAATCTCTCCTTGCGAATGGTTTCACTATATATCATCATGGAACTGGCATGATGGTAGATAGATCTTCTCTTGAGGCGATCAACCTGGCTGTGTTGGATTGGGATTTGAGAAACACCGCCGAGATGCCGAAGCGATCTGTGCTGAAGCACCATCCTCGGTTTGGGCTCTGGCTGATCGGCGGAGGCGATCGACAAAGGAACCCAGCGACGTCGGAGATGCCTACCGTAGGAGACGCCGGGTTGCTGGACGAGTTAGGTCTCGAAACGCTCGAGGAAAACGAGAGGCCGCAGGTGCATCTTCCAGCAGGAAATCCTTGTTCAGGAGGGTTCCGAGAAAGAAAGTTGCCTCCCACAAACCGCGCACAATGGTGGTTGATCAATGGTGGTTTATCCTGACCTCCAAGTAAACAAACCAAAAGAGCCGGAACCTGAAATCTTCCCCCAAACCCATCCATCGACATCCTTTAGTTCACATAGGTCGACACATGTCTGCAAGTGGGCAAACTCCAACAAATACTACAACTTGCACTAGATGTGGGCCAGTCTCGGTCAATCACTTTTGAGGTTTCAGGGGAAGTCTTGGCTGGCTCAGCGACTGCTCCACTTCAGCGAATTGAGGCGACTCGCACTTCTGTCATGTTTGTCTCCCGTTGTCTTGGACTTAATCTCTGACATCCCTCGCATCTCACTCACTTACACGAAGAGGGCTCTCGGGACATTGATGACTCCATCCTTCCCTGGGCAAAAAAAAAGTAGGAGAAACCATAGAAACCTCCATCCTTCATCATCCTTCCCACATGTCTCCAAAGTGCTGGTTCCGTCCAGTCGATGGGCGGCACGTTCTTCACCACCAAGGTGAAGCCTCGTCACGAGGTCGTCACGACCAACACGACCAACAAGAAGGTCGCCGTGTTTGCGAGCCGTAGACAGTAGGGCCGGGTACTTGGCTGTGCTTATACGGATATGTCATGCTATGGCCATGGCTATCAGAAAGATAGATGTGCCCCATCGTGCACCCGAAGATGAACATGGAACCTGATGACATGGACGATTCCTTCACAAACCAGTGCTGAACTTCAGGTTCCATGTGCTTCCATGCTCTTCTTCCATCAATCACAGGATCGAAGCATGTGAGAGGAAGCATGCGGTCGTTCCACGGTTCAGCCGCCGTGGTCCGCTCCACCCAGCGCCACCGAGGTGATGGCCCAGGCACTGAGTGTCTGGCCCAAGCTGCCCAAGCGCTCTCCTGAGAGTCGGCAGAGTCGGTGCCAACGATCCGGATGTAACAGCTGTGGCGGCAGAAACCGGCAGAAACCGGGTGTGTTTTTTCCACCGAACACATGGAACAGAATGGAACAGAAGCCATATCAACTGGCCAGGTCAAGCGGATTTGCAGTTCCTGGTTTTAACCCACGGCCATATCACCACTCCATACAGGATGCTGCAAAAAACAGATCCATCGACTAGTCGGTTCAAAGAAGTGGTTGATCCAGACCATCACGCTGAAAGATTCATGTAGGAAAAAAAATATAGGATTATACAAGTTGTTCAATCCAAATGGGGGGGGAGGTGATTATAATATAACTTAACTCATACCCAGACACTCCATGGGACTGCCATATATGCCGCCCCATTGACCCCTAAAACCAACCACCCCAATGTAGATAGGCATATATGGCAGTCCCATGGGTCGTGTCTGGGATATTATATATTTCCCATTCTACATTCCTCTGACTCCTCACTGCCTGGGTCTCCCCTTCTGCCAAGTCGCCATCGTCCAATTCCCTGAGTCCCTCCGACTCCGTCGTGAGGCTGAGCGCGGCGGCGCCGCTGCCCAGTGCCACGGCCAGGCGCTCCTTGAGCTCTGAGACCTGGATCTCCAACAACTTGAGACTCGAAGTGGTCGTTCATCAGTTGGAAGGAAGGATGGGTGGAGGCTGTGGAGCCAATCAAGAGGGATACATCGAGATAGCACGAGATAGCCCAGTTGAAGAGCCACTGGAACCTTTTTGTCAAAATGTGCTTGAGCAAAAGCTCCCAGTGCCCTAGTCACTGAAGCCAACCCTCCCAGCTCTCAGCTGCGGAGAGAGATGCGGTGGTCTCAGCTGGCAGCTCAAACGGAAAGACTCGGCCACTCAGGGTGTGAACCGAGATCTCCTTGGCGCCGTTTGCTTCGGGGAGACAGGCGTTGTTGCATCTTTCTTCTTGGTGCTTCTATGAGGGATGAGGCATGAAAATGCCTGGAAAGCCAGCAAAAGGCTCTGAACGTGTCAGCAGGATTTGGAGTTTAATACTGCTCTCTTTAAACAGATTCAGTAAAACCCCGCAACATGCCTCAACCAAGAAGTCTCAGGAACTTCGTTCATGGCTCCTCACATCTAACAGAATCTAACAAGTAGAAACTTGAGGCCGAGGGTTGGTGACGAAAGCTAGCAGGGCGGGGGTGAGCATGGAAATACATTACATCCCAGAGACGTCCCAGGGAGGCGTTGAACCCCCCCGAGGGGCCACCCACCTACATATGAAGTGTTCACGTGATGCGGCACTCTCGAGGATTCCAGCCCCTCATTTGCTAAAGCAAGAACAACTCCAGCTAGCTCGTGCTAGCTTGGAGACAGAGCCTTCTGCACCTTGCTCTTGAATCTCTGGTCGCGTCCACCCTGGACTTTTTGCGAAGCCAATGCATACCAGCCCCTATTTGGAGGAAAGCCTGCACAATGGCCAGCTTCTACAGGCGGTTTGCACAACAAACGAGTTGAGTTGATCATGGCTGGAATCATTCCCTCATGCCGACCCAAAATATTCCCCACCCATGCATTTAGAGAATCCACATCCATTGCTGAAGGGCTGGTGACAGGCATATGGAAAGTCTGAGATGCATCCATGGCTTATTGATCCGGCTTTTGCAGAGTTTGTTGAAGTGCTCACCAATGAGAGCCGACATATGGAAATTGGACTCCTCAGCACCTTTCCAGCCATATGCTTGCCTACTGCAGTACTACAGTACATCAAACGATCCATTGAAAGCTCTGGAGCCAACACTGAGTCAATATTGCAAAGCTGTCCTCTCTCACTCGCAAATGTCAGAAGAAAGCGAACGCAAGAGGAAGGCAAAACGAATCGAACGACGCGATTCCGGCCACCAATTGAAGAAACTTGCTAAATTAAAAGCAACTCCAGCTAGTTTGATGCTAGCTTTCGTGAATACTGGGAGGTGTCAGGCATCTAATGAAAAGCCTTGTCTTGCCCTCTTAATGCCTCACTAGTTGCCCCTGATGTACTTCCCCTTGGTGGGGTGCTCTATGCTAGCAACTGTTGTCTCATGTCGTCTCACCTGTCTGCTCCCTGAGCTCCCGGCCAATCTGCACGGCCGTCTGCACGTGCCGAAGCAGCACGTGGACGCCACGCCGCAGAACACGCACGTGGCGCGTGGATGTCATAGGGCGCGGCGCGCGGGTCGGCGTGGTAGCCTGGCGATTGAAAATTATGATCAAAATGGAAGTGGATAAACAATCAGATACATAGTGGATAGGTCCTAGGTCCAAAGCAAAGTACTATGCATTTTGCACCTTTTCCACACTTTTCCACGCTGCAGTTCACCCACATCTGCTCCGCGCACCTCTCGCGCGCCCTTCTTTGCAACCGCCCGTGGTGGGCCCGCGCCTGCGGCCTGAAGCCTTGGACGTAGTAGAAGTTCACCCTGCCGAGTAGCGGTGCGACACGCGGGGCCATGGCGTCGTCCACGCGGAGCGGTGGGGGGCCATGGATTCGGTCGATGGAGGCGTTGGGGTCCGGTGCTGAAGAGCTTCAGGCGTTCGGGTGCGAAGTCGGTCATGCAGAGAATCGTCTTTCTTGGAAATTCAGTCCTATAGAAGATGAACATTCAAATCTGAAACCACATGGGTTGTAGAGGACAATTATGGGACATATCTGAAGCCCACACGAAAATATGATGTAAAATGGAAAAGGTCTTCCAAAGCTCCATTTTCCGGTTCCATGATGTTCCGTGTTGAACTTGTCCTTCCCAGAAAACCGTCGATCTGATTGCCAGCCAGCGGCAGTTCTTTGACTCGGGACTTCAGCATGTACTTGGATGGCAGGATGCGGATCAGCACCTGGAAGCAGTGCTCTGGATGTGTCACCAAATGAGGACCAAGATCCACCAAGTGGAACCAAGTGGGATCGATCTGACGGGAGAGGCTGGGTGGAACGTGTTCAAAACACTTTTTGGGACCAATCATAGTGGAAAACCACCTCAGTTTGGCATTCAGAAACACCCTTTTCAAGGGCCATCCATAGGAACATCCTTCCAAGGGCCATCCATAGGAACACCCTTCCAAGGGCCATCCATAGGAACATCCTTCCAAAGGCCATCCATAGAAACACCCTTCCAAAGGCCATCCATAGAAACACCCTTCCAAGGGCCATCCATATCATCCCATGTAACGCCTCAGCGCGCCGTGGCGTCGTCGACCAGCGCGCGATGTGACCCCACCGATGTGTTCCGTGGCTCCGATGAGCCCCGCCGCGCTCCAAAACCTCCAGCGCCTCCAGCCAGTGGGTCTGGAAGTGAAGCGCCTCTAGACCAAACACCCGACCCCTTCGCCGCCAGCGAAGTCACCAAGTTTGGGACAAGCACACTGGACCCGGCAAGGCCAGAGAATGTGTTGTTTGATCTGAACTTGCAGCCTGCGGGCTTCCGAGCCTCAAATCCTACGTTGACAAGCCTGATTCCAACTGGATGTTCCTTTCGTTCCTCTCCTCGTCAGGGCTGCAGCAGGCCAAGAGCTCTCGTGCCGTAATCCCATCAGCCTCGCTGAGGAAGGCGAAGCACGGGCGTCCCGCACGGGTGGGAACGTCACCCAGCTACCCCCAGCTACATGGGACCCGTCGCCTGCGCCGACACCGCCGGACGACGACACGGCCAGTCTTCCTCTTTCCTCCAGTCGACCCACTTTCGTTCCAGGACCGTGCCCAAGTGGCCCACGGCACACGCTCCAGCTCTAGGCAGTCGAAGGTCTCAGAGCCTGGCGCTCTTGTCCGGGCGCTCTTTTCGGGCGAGGGGTGAGATTCAAATGGATTCGGGTCAAGTCTCGCAGTATTCGTGACAGACTGTTGGGTGAAAGTGTGGTGCCTGAGAGGCAGGCCCGTGCGCAGCAAAAGGTGACAGCGTCTCAACGTCCTCGTTCCCCAAACTAGCCTTGCACGTACAGTAGCTCCCTCCTCAGTGGAAAGGCTAGCCAAGACCCAAATTCCCAAAGAGAAGACCATAATCATGAGAACCATGTCGAGCCCCTTGGGGGCGATACTTTTTCACAGGATGGGGACCAACTGTGACCGTGGCACGGCGGAATCCCAGCCCCCTGATTCCTTCCTCCCAGTCTGGCCTGCACTGCTCTCAGATAAGAGTTGAACCTCCTGCGTCTTCAGTTCCTGAGACGCACGTCGATGACGTCAGTCCATCGGCCCGAACCGGAAGCCATCGGCCGACCGCGAACCGAACCGCGAACCGCCACCGGAGCGCGGAGCCCGGGTGAGAAACCGCTCTCCGGAGCTCGGACCGGTCGAAGCCGGCGGTGCGCAGCGGATCGAAGCGGTGCGGAGAGCAAAGAAAACTCATTTTTGGAAAATAAAGGGAAAACCTGTTTGTTCCATTTTGTTCCTAGTAGCTTCTTGTTACTAGTAGCGATGCCAGGAGCCCCGAACGTAGCGTCCTTGCTCCTAGCAGCGATGCCAAGAGCCCCTAGTAGCTTCTTGTTCCTAGTCAATGAATCGGTCCACCTCGTAGTCACCAGTTCTAGAAACTTCGTGGCTCGTCCCCCAACGCCCAAAACCTGCTTGAAAACCGAGCTCCTCGGCCACCTGATCGAGGAAAGGTCTCAACTGTCGCAGCTGTTGGGGCGAGAGCTCCTCAAGCCGCGAAGACTTAAGGGCTGGAGGAAAGCGCCGCGGTTTGTCTCAAGATGAAACCGTGTGTTGGCACCCTTCCGAAGCATGCCAACAAGCGCATAATAAGGAGACCCCCCAAAGTCTGCAGGAGGTTCTTTCAGGTGGTCTTTGGCACGCACGTATTGACTGGGTCAGGCCTCGAAGAACGGCCCATGTTTGACAGGACCGGTCCAATGCCGAAGCTGCGGCAGTCACACCAAACGCCGCTCCGGCATACTTCCCATGCGAGCTGCACTCCCCGCACCAGCGCCCAAGGGCCAAGGCTCCTGAAGCTCTCCTTGGGTATCTGGGAAGGAGACCCAAGTCTTCCCATCCACCTCAGGACGTGCATCGTTCAGGCGCGACGTTCGACTCATGTGCATCCACACGTTCGGGGGACGAGCGTGGTGAAGAGCCGGTGCATCGACGAAACCTCGCAGGCCCCGGCGGCTGCTGCGTTTTGTCACTAGTCTGTCAACCAAGAGAGGTTGAATGACCCTATAGACTATCCCATAGGTACCCCAGTAGGGTCCTATAAGGTCTTTCAACCTTTGTTGGAATGTTGAACATTCCGTGGCGGTTGGGATCAGTTCGACCGGAGCTCGGACAGCCACCATACCAGGGGTCACAAGACGGGGTGGTGTTTAGTCCCCTAACGTGAGTGGATTGGCTGGGCACCCCGACTACCTCCATGGATAGCACCCTGTCGAACGTGAGCCCTGGTAATTAGTCATTCCGATCTGGTTTGTTTGCCTCTATGCTCTGTGTGAGCCACAACCAGTGGGTGACACGTCAGTGGCTGCCTTCAGCCAGCAGGAACATGGATCTTTCGGAGAACCTTTAAGTTTAAAAACAACAAATATATAAGCAAAGCTGAAAGCAACATGCATCTTGAAACTCACCGGCAGGACTGCCATTTTCTCAGCTGGCCCTCGAAAATTTGATGAAATGCACTCCAACCTTAACAGGATGACCCAGCCCACCCCACGACGCCTGTGACAGCAGGACTCCAGCATTCTGCAGCAGGATGCGCTTGTCCTCCCAGCCCGCTAGGAGCGGCCCAAACGCGTCGCTCGTGTCCAAACGCACGGGAAGTCAAACCTAACCTGCTCCTGGTGCCAGGCACCGCGTCGCTTAATCGTTGCCATTAGATATCATTAGATCGACCAAAACCGTTGGTCGATCGACCCACCTCCACCCTCGCAGAGATCACAAACCCGGAGGCTCCGCGCAGACCGCGCAGCCGACTCTCGGTGACCTCGGAGATGTCGCCGTCGTTGACCACGGTGCGGAAGAGCTCACGCATGCAGAGGATCGAGGCCTCCGAGAGCCTGCCAAACGGCGGTAGGTTCGCGGCGGCGCCGTCGCTTCAGGTTGGGTCGGACGGTTTTTGGGGAAAATTCAGGTCAAAGCTCAATGTTTTTTTGAAGACGGGTGGTGGCTTTTTCCGTTCACCTTGTTTTGTTTTGTTTCTCTCCTTCCAGCGTGCCAGAAGAACTCATGGGCAGCTGTAATTGTTCCAATCTTTTTGCGTTCTGCTTTCAATGGGCTCTCCTCTCATATACCCTGTTGTACTGGGACCTGACCCCCTGGGCTGACCCCCTGGATTTGATCCACTCAGTACGGCCCTCTATCTCTCATTTGGCCTTTCCATAAAACTCGGTCCTTCAAATCCTCTCCCCACCTTCGCCGCTTGCTGGGCCGCTCTCCCACTCCGTCATGCTGCCCCTCCCGGCGCTTCCGGGACGGGAGCGGCTCCATGGCGGGCGCATGACAAAGCGCACGGCCGATGCGCTGGCTCGTTGATGTGAAGGCCGTTCGTTGAGTCCAAGACTTTCCAAGAAAAGGGTCTTTAGATGATGCGTCTTTAGATGATGCCAGTGCCGGTCCAGGAATTTCATTGATTCGGTGGTCCCCTGAAAAATCTGTCATTCCCAAGCCTTGATCTCATGCGGCTTCGTCGCCAGGGCGACACAGTACTATGCTGGCCCGGTGGCTCTCCGAAAGTGCTCGCCTTTTTAGAAACCACATATGAGTGTGAGGGCGTGAGACTCCCAAGACGCATGCGGCTCAAATGGATCTCTAAGCTTGGGCCATGGGGGGTGTCAAAACGCGTCACAGGCGCCGTGCTGGGCTGAGATGTGAGTGCATCCAGCAGCCCCCGTCAGTCAGAAATGGGAGGAATCCCTTGAAATAAACACCATCCAAGCAGCCCAAGGAGAGGGATGCAGGGGCAACATTTGTTCGAAACCCACATTTTTGCAGACCAATCCATGCACCAAAGGCAATGATTCCTGACCTTTAATCTCCCACGGCTTTGTTGTCAGTACCTGCTTCATTACTAAACCAGCTTTTCTGGCACTAACCTTCCACAGCGTTGTCTGCCTTAGCTTGACTTCATGCAGCTTCCAAATGTGTCCAAGGTTGTTCAAGGTTGACTCTGGCTCTGCTGGCTCGTCTTTCCAGCTGCCATATCGGCTACATTCTTCCACAAAGTTTGGGGAAAGCATTTTCCAAACCTCACGTTTGCAGGGCCCTAGCGGCCTACTTCGGTGGCTCCAGCCCATCGGGTTCTGCCCTTGCCATGACCCGCTCCAAAAACGCCCGCTCCTTCTGGACATTGAAAGGGCACCACAAGGGTTTCTTCTCAACAATGCGTGGAAACGAGGGGTCGCGGGTCACGTGACCGGCAACTACACGGTCACGTGACTTCAAAGACTCGTTGCAAGCGGCTTTGACGCGAGGGGGGCAGTCCATCCCATGGCTTTTCGGGCTTCCATCTGCTGCTGCTGACGCGAAGGGCACCCCAAATGTGTGTCAAAGCACATCTGCCCGAGAGTGACAGGAGGTTGGTCTTCCATTTTGAGAGCTACGTGGGCACAGGTAGATGCTGGACCATGCTGGACGTTGCTGGACCATGCTGAAGTCTGAAGTAACTTGAAGATACTTGAAGTAAGTGGCTGGGTGAAGACCAGCGGAGCACCAGCTGTTTGTAGAGAAAACATGGTCGTTTGTTTTTCGGGCCAATGCCATCCACTTCCAGAGCTGGTGAAACCCACAAGTTGCGGTCAGGATGTTCGGGGGTCTTCCGGAGAGTGTCTTTGTGACATTCCTCTCAATCTGCCTGTCTCAGGTATACCGAATTTGCAGGTATGTGGCCCTTTGGAGAGTTGAGTGGCCTCAAACCAGGAGATGAAAGGTCACTTGGAAGAGCTTCGCTATGTCGAACTTCTCGTCAGATCTAGCTGAGCTGCCATATGCAAAGCCCAAAAAGCTCCATTGGTCAAAGCAGTTGCGATCCACGTCGTCAGCGTTTGCTTCCAGCTTCCAGCAACAAGCACAGCAACAAGCAAAAGATGTCCATTCTCAGCTGCAAAAATGACTTGGCTCATGGTTGAATGCATGTCGAATTCGCAGCTGCTCCATGTCGTCCACTGATGCACCGACATTTCGCCCTCCTCGATGACCAAAACCGCATTGCAATTGGCACCCACATAAGGACATATAAGGACATTATCATTCTGCAGCTTGACGATTTCTTGCTTTTCAAAGCCTGTCGATCCAAACCTTGAATATCTAGTCCAACCGGTGCCGAACTGAATCTCCACACGGCACCATGCAGCTTGTCATCCTCGTGAACCTTGGCGAGAATGAGCACGCGAGACAGAACAGACTTGGACTGTTGATGAAGTCATGTTTTGAAGCTCAGAACCCAATCATGCTATTGAACGGCCCAGGTCGACGTGGCAAAGCCTCTCACATGACGTGTTTTTGCAGACCTCATCCTCAACCAAAAGCCATGATTGATGGCTTTTCTCGAAGCTATGAGAACCATCCAGCGACCTACCAAATTCAAATCTTCCACATGCTCATTCTCCCAGTCACAACGAGCAATAGACATGCTCATAGGCCTCCACCCCACAAAAAGCCGCGAAAAACCGTGGCGCCCGGCACACCGAGGCGGACGCCCGGCACACCCCGACAACCTCAGCACCGAGGCGGACAGAATTGGTCGCGAGGAGCTGTGCCATTGGTCCCACCAAACGCATCTTCTGAGTTCTTCACAAAACGGTTGAAAGTTTTAGAGAGGAGCAGTCTCAGCTTAACTAATGCGATGTTTTTTCAACTTCCGATGAAGACCCTCATACCTGGCACCCTATTGTGTCTGTTCCCTAGTGCATCGGGGGCAGATGGGCCAGGGTCCATGGCACACATGACCAAAACCAGGTTCTTGGAGCTTCGGAACCGGTACGACCTTCCAAAATGCTCCGCTCCTTTGAGTATAAAGGAGAAGTTCATTCAGTGTAAGTCCAAGAGCTTGTCCCTAACTCTGTCTCTTGGACACGTTGGACCTTCGGGGTTCTTCGTTTTGACTGCTTCATGCGCTTCAGCCCCGCGCTGCACCTGTTTGTGTCCGGCTCTTCTTCGCGTGAGGCTCAGCCGCAAGGCCAACGGCCCCGGCACGGCGGCGTAAACGGCGGCACGGGACGGCTCGAATGGGTCCTGTTGGACATCTCACCAGTAACGGTGTCTTTTTGACCTCAACGTACGATGCTGTTTTACAGTACGAACATGTTTTCAATATTCCTTACACAGTCTCTATTCATTGTTCTTGTCCTTTGACTCCATGAGCGGGCATACTTGGGTTGGGGGAACGTTAAGGTCATCTCGCTTGGAGCAGCATAGGGGTCGGGACTCTATATAACTGGGATTGTTGTTGTTGTTTTTGTGCTTTATCTTGGGTGGTCTTTAGAAATTGTGTCTAGAAGAGTCATCAAAAGCAAAGAATGCAACAGAAAACTCATCAAAAGAAAGATGTCAACATAAAAGTCGTAGACAATAGCGACTTTGCCAGAAAAGTTATCAAAAGTAGCGATTGTAATGAGTCAAAATGAGAGATTTTGACTAGTAAAGTCATCAAGAGCAAAGAATTCAGTAAATTCATCAAACATGTTTCAGGAGAAAAGTTATCAAAAGTAGAGATGTTAAGGGGAAAGGCATCAAAAGTATAAATTGTTTGGGGAAATATCGAAACATCCAGTCCATCGATGTCTAGGAACCTAGTGTCAACCTACAAAGTCAACAGATGGATTAATCAATCAGCTTTCCACCGTTCGCCCACTCCCGTCTCTAAACGAGTTCCATCCGCCACCCTCACTCCTGCGTACATCCCAAAGTCTTCACGAAACCATCACATCCACAAAATCAGCTATATAAGGTAGACTCTCGATGAATAAAACCCCCACACGAAGAGGCCTTACGATCCAAAAAGGGGTGGGGTTCTTGATCAAGAAGTCTACAGATTACTATATACATCTATATACATTACTAGCTTAAAGAGGTTGGGGGACCTCCCCGTGGTCGCTCCTACTCCTGTGACGCATTACCCAGCTGGAGGAGCCCAAGACCCGCCCCGTCCGCAAAAGAGCTACGCGGCGTCGAATTCGCACCGCCCCCCAAGCACCTGTTGGGGGGCCGTCCATGCACTCCGTCCGTGCAACGCCCCAGGTGACGGGCGTTAAGATGTGAAAGAAGAGGACGCCCCAAGGACCTCTCCAATGCCTTCTCCGTGGCATTTGGGTGTCCTCAACTGTCTTAGGGGTCGAGAAATGAAGATGATGTTAGACTCTTTCTCATGGCGCTGTGGCTCCGTGGCAGTCATCGGAACCACCGGTTACGCGCGAATTCGGGGTTCGAGGTACCCAACCGCCGCCCTGCACATCGGGTGGAGTGCGGCAGAAGCCGCCCGGCTCGTCACCTGGGGGGGGGAAAAGTGCAACCAGTGGGGCGGCCGTGCCGCTCTCGCGAGCACAGGAGCAAAAGATCTTCCAAGTTGAAGGACTCGAAAAAGACTAGCCCATTAGCACTTCTCAAGGCCTATCAGTAGGGAGGGTAGTCTAGCCAGGACACCCATTACGGGTCTTAGTTCAGGTCACTTCACCTCTCAAGATCTTCGGCCAGTTCCTGAACCTGTCGCCACCACAGCAAGTCGGCTTGGCGCTGAAAGCGCGCCCCTGGCGCGCGCTGGCGCGCCACGAATTCCACAAAAATGCTCATGGCAAACCTCCTTCAGAGTGGGACCACCTTGATCTAGTTTGTTTTCAGGAGCATCCTACTGGGCGGTGCTGTTTAGCTATCTAAAGCTTTGCACTGGTAGAGTCGTAGAGGGGGGGCCCCACATCTCCTTAGGAGCAGAACTCGAGGTTTGGGGCGACCGGTGAGTTGTGGAATTGGCGACAGCTCAGTATAGCTTAGCGAGGCTTACCACGCAAATGTTGCAGGCGTGGAAGCAAAATGGCAACTGCCAACAAAAACATACAATCCTTGAAACAATCATGGAAGTGGAAAACCACCTCTTGGTAGAGGAAAACGGTCTTCCAAGAGGCCATGTTCCACATTGTTCCACTTCCATGTTTGGAGGGAGGGTACCACGTTCTGTTTCTGTTTCGGCCCGCAGAATGTCTGCCACCCTGCAGTCCGTTGTGCGCGAACGATCAGTTTTGGGGGGGGGCAGTAGCTCTGTGAGGCATTTACCATCTGACTCTTTGTAAGAGCTCTACTAGAGTAGCATTTACTCTTTGTGAGGCATTTACTCTTTGGCAGTAGCTCTGCAATCTGACTCACGAAAACTTGGAAGTAAACAAGCTCTTTGTTGCGAGGAAGGTCGTCTTCCTTTGGGGACCATGCCATCCATGTTAAACCGTTCGTGAGTCGGAGAGGCGAGGGTTTCAAGCCTCCCAAATACCACTCCCTGCATCTCGCGACAGTCACACAGCGTTCGAACAACAGTCACAAAGCGCGTCCGTCCGCTGACTCCACAACTCAGGCCGTTTGGCATCCCTTCGAATTCGGCGGAACCGGCTGAACTGCCGTTCCACACGCTTTCGCCGACAGACATCCCTCTCGCTGTCGACTAGCCAGGCCCACATCGGCGCCGGTGTCAACTTGGCACCGTTCATTCTTCCTCAAGGACTCCATGGAACTGACCTGCTTGGCATATCATACTTACATACTTTGGGGTGATTCACCCGGGGTCAACATAGACATGGCATTCATATGCATTCATGGTATACTGTCTAGAGTGGTCTGGGTCCTTCATCCTCCTTCATCTTCCTTCATCCTGCCCTTGTTGTGCTGGCCATGCCGGACTCTAGTCCCAAGACCCACTGCCATCACACGTGGACAAGTTTGCAATCGACGTTGCGGAGTCCTCACCTGAGCGGTTCTAGAAAACGACTGCAGTGGCGCGGGGGTCAATTTGGATCGAGATGGAAGACGATTCGAACCCTACACATCCCCAAACACCCTTGCAGACTAGCATGGAACCTGAGTGCTCCAAAGTGTTCTTGGGGTTGCACAAATTGTTGCAGCAAGGAACCTTTGAACATATCTGAAAACACGGGTCTTGTCAAGGAAAATGCTCTTTCCATGGTCCATTTTGAGATTCTATGTCAATCTGCCAGGGTGTTTTTTCTCAACTCTCATGGTCAGTACTACTACTAGTAACAAGAAGCTACTATATAGGTGGAGGCCATCGCTCAGGTCTTCTCAAGGCTTCAGAATTGATGTAACAAACCACAGTCACCACGGCGATAGACACAACCCCCCTAGATCGAAGCTGGAAGCTGGGTCAGTCTCCACGCAGTCAGTCTAATGACCACTTGAAAAGGCGCTTGGACCGTGCTACCTTATAGTGAAAACAGGCAACGGCTCCAGTAGATTCAACAGGCGCAAGCTGAGTAGATCTGGCAAACTGACAGTATCCGCTGGGTCGTTCGTGTACCCTGGTGCCCATGACGCATAACTACCGCATTGGCGAAGCACCATCAATCGACACTCCAAGCCCTTGGATCCGTGGTCAGTGTGACTGCACCAAGTTAAGAGAAACATCCAACATCCAATATCCACCTCAACCAACCTGCCCCTTCAATGCAACTCCGAAGAAAGAGAGGTACTTCGCTCCATTAGTCCGGGGGGTCGCTCCGTTCGCCCATCCCGCAGCTCCCGCAGCTCCCGTTTCCGCGCCCACCGCGGCGGGACGTGGCCAAAAGACTCATGATGTTCTTTCTCCGCCTCCGCTGATACAGCGGAGACTTGTCCGGATCAAAGCTGGAGTTCGACTCCTGCAAGGAGTTCGGTCGCGTCTTTCCCAGCCGCAAGTAGTTCGGTCGCGTTCGGTCGCAGCTGGAGTCATCGAAATCATCTATCAGATCTACGAATGTCTTGAAGTTCTACTTCTCCATCGGACGAACAGCATCAACCTGCCAGCCTCTCGAGGCCCCCCAAAAACCCAGCTGCCAAGCCTCTGACCTTCTAAGGGCTCGCCTCGAAAGAACTCACCTGACTTATAGAACATCCCCACAAGATGGCTAATGAGGCCAATGGACACCCTTCTTCAGGCCCCCTCAAAGGGGCTCTTATTCGATACCCCTCTTCAGGCCCCCTCCCTTGATCTCCATTCTTCCCCTTTCAGTCGCACCTCATCGCCCACCGTCGGCGGACGAAGCGTGGGCCGACGCAGCGTCGCCCGCGGCGGCGGCGGCTCATCCACGGTGGCCGGACAGCTCTTGATGTGGCCGATGGCGACTTCCTGCGTTCCGTGGCCGCGAGACACGCAAACTGCGGGATCAACTCCCAAACAACGACCAAGGAGCTAAGATCAAACGCACCAAGACATGAGCTGCATTGCATGCTTTTACTGCAACATGCACAATGCCAACACATCACCTATGAACCCAAACACGTGCTATCGGCAGATTCTACGAGTAGCACAGACATGCAAAGACTGTCAATACCAGCAAGCCCGCCAAGGTCGACGGTTTTCATAGCACCACCTCTCAAAGCCGCTCGGGCGATGAAAACGACGGTACAAACGACTCTCAGGTCACACCCCGGACTGTCGTTCAAGCCAACAAATGCCGCTGGTTCACCGCAATGCCGCTGGTTCCAACAAATACCTTCTAAACCCAGGTCACGCAATGTCACGGCGTGTGTCGTAGTCATACCATGCAATTTTTACACGAATCTTCACGCGCTTTGATGTTCAACTGGGCAAGGACGATGCACGTTCATGCCGGCCAACGGGTGCTGCATGGTGTTGCTTCAATGCACTCATCCGGTGGACGATCCATTTACATGCTTTAGCACCTTCTGTATGTGAATCGTATATTATCATTGGGTCAGGGAATGGCCTCCAGGTCCTCAGACCTTCTTAGCCCAGCTCAAACATGCCTCTCCCCCACTTCAACAAGAACCGCCGGCTCTGCTCCTTCTCCACGTTGAGCTCCTTCCCCCGTGCGCTCGTGGAGCCGCGCCGGAAGAAGGAGGGCCGGCCGCGGGAGCTGGCGCTGGAACGGTCGGGCGCGACGATGAGGTACGGCTCGCCGGGCTCCGGGGTGGACCTGGCACCGAGGAAACCCTAGCAGCGTCCTTGCTCCCAGGTAGCGATGCCAGGAGCCCCTAGTCTTGTTACTAGTAGTAAGGCCAGGAGCCCCTAGTAGCGTCCTTGCTCCCAGGTAGCGATGCCCTTGTTCATGCACTTCCTTGACTTCTTGCCCTGAGAATCCTAAGCATCCCAGCTCCCGCACGGAAGGGCCAGCAAAGCTGCTGCTGTTGAACAGCAAGCCTCTTCGTCCTCCGTTCATTTTCATATTCTCTGATTCCTGTGCCCCAGTCTGTCCCATACATTGTGCTCTCCTGGAGCTGAAGTTTTTCCCATGAATCAGGCGCCACGAGAAGGTCCAAATCCCCTTCTCATCCCTTTTCCATTGTTTTCGAGTCTTCGTAGGTCTTCGTCACTCCGTTCTCCATGTGGCAAACCCCTCCGTCTCCGCATGGCCCGTCCCTCCATCCTCCGGGTGGATCCTTCGCATCTAAGCCACATGGGTTGGCTCCAGACGTTAAAGACCTCCAGCTCGTCGTCCTCCGACGCCAAGGTCAGCCGCGGAGAGGGAAGCGTGGAGAAAGGCATCGTCGTGGAGGTGGAGCTGGTTCCGGCGAAGAGGTTCAAGGAATTCACCTCGGAGCGCGGCCCCTACTGTGCGTGGCTCCGCTACCAGTGGTGGGGCGGGTGAGCCAATGTTCTGCGCGGTTGCGAACGTCCAAGAACAGGAGGGAGTGGCTTCATGTGCACAACGCATAACATGTACTGAAAAATGAATACCCAGACACTCCATGTATGCCATATATGCCTACATTGACCCCCCCAACCACCCCAATGTAGGTAAATATGCCATACATGGAGTGTCTGGGATATATAGTTCGAAGAAGAAAAACGAGAAATATGTAAACCAGGCGGAGCCGTTCCCGAAGGGTGAGGCCAGTTTTTTGTTGCATTAGGTGTGCTTTTGCACTTTGTTGCATTAGGTGTGCTTTTCTTGCACACCTGGAACTTCTCCAAGTCCTTAAAAGTTCTATAGGCCTTTTTTGCTTTGAATGCGTTTTGGGCATTTCCAGCGTTTTGAACTTGTGTGTGTGTGTGTGTCTTATCACTCATGTTGGCGGTGTTCAATGACCAAACAGTTAAACATTGTTAAACGGCCTGATGTTCCTCAAGAAAACCCATGGTTGTCCACTTCCATCTTTGTCCCGAGGTTCTTCAGAACCCTAGTTCGACTAATTATCCCAGTTCGGTACCGAGATATACCCCAGCTGACGGCCCCTCTCTTCATGGTCACCTCCCAGCAGAGGTGGGTCAGAACCCGAACTAGACTATCCTATAGGATCCTATAGGTACCCCTGTAGGGTCCTAGTTCAGGTCACTTGACCTCTGTAGGTCTCTTCACGGTCCAGGAGGTTTTGAGTCGCTGCCGGGCCGCTGAGAGCCGCTGACTGGAGTTGCGGCGCTCGTCGCGGGCCAGTGGCACGGACGGGAGGGTCTCCAAGGCCTGTGGGCGGTCTCGCGGCAGAGGTGGGCAGGGCGGTGTCGGGATGGATGGATGGCTGGCTGGCTGGCTGGCTGCATGGATGGATGGATGGATGGATGGATGGATGGATGGATGCATGTTTCTCCCAAATGGGGAGGTTCTATGAGGCTTCTGGAGTTGCGAGCTGAATGGGGGGGGTGCATTCAGCTCGAAACCTTCGGCTAAGGCCCAAGTTGTGAGGACTTTGTGACTGTTGATCTATGAATCTACCACTTTCATTCTAAGGCTTGGGCTCAAACCAAACGCCATCACACGCGGCAAAGGAAGGATGCCCCCCCAAAAAAGCAGGTCCCTGGTGCTCCAATTCCAGCCCAAGTAATCCCAAACTCTTCATCTTGATGGCCTTTGAATGCCATCATCAACCTTAACAGGCCGCAACCACACCATCCACGCTATGTCTGAGGAGTTGACGGCGGTTTCTTCAGGGACAGATGTCTGTGCCGGAACCAATGCCGCTTTCGGATGTCGCCGCCTTTAGTCATCGATGCCCTCGTTGAAGAAAACACAAGCCCTTTTCTGTAAATGCGTTATCACTTGGTGTTCATGTTCCACTTCCGCCACTTCAATCCACCTCTCCTTTCCTCCCTTGGGCCTGTTGCCACTTGCGTCCCTCACAACCCTCTGGGAGCAATGGCAAGCCCCAGTGACTGACCTCAAAAATACGATCGAAAGCAAGATTTTGGGATGTCTTCAATGATTCTGACTTCAGGTGGACCTGGTTTTGTAGTCTAACAGTCTAACATCCATGGGTCAAACAAAGGTTGTTCGGTGTCTGAACCACTAAATCCATGGCGGGCCAGGGAAATCCATCTGACTTCAGCTGAACTGCGAAGGATGATGATCTCGCCTGGAGTGGTGAAGAAAGGGCCCATGAAAGACACCACTCACGTCAGGTGCGCAATGGCGTGGGCGACGTTGGCGACGTTGTGTTGACGCAATGGCAAGCCCCCCCATGACCCCTCAAGAGGTCAGCGTGTTTTTCGGAAGATATGGCTGTGGGTCAAGACCTGGATGCCCGAAACCAGGGTGCCACAGTAGGTTGACCTTGTAGGGTAGTCTATCTCTGTTCATTCTGGTCAGTCCCGGTTTTGACCCACCGCCATATAGATGCCTGTGGTGCCCCAAAAACGATCGTCTACTCGTCGGCACGCGGCCCAGCCGAACAACGCCCGGCACCGTCTGCTGCATTCCGGGCGGCGACGGGGTTGGACGCCGCAGCCGCCGCCCGGCCGAGCGCCAGGCTCTTGCGGCGGAGCTTCACGCCGTAGATCTGCACGAACCAGCCACCCTCCAAAGGGATGCCGCGCTCCTGGCGCAGAGAAAATGTTGTTTCTACGGATGGACTTGATTTTGATTCAAAGTCGGGGAATGTCGCGCAGGTCACGAAGGGGGGCTCGGGTATGTAGCTTATTATATTGGAGATATGAGATATCAGTTGATAAGCAGTTGAGACAGTATCGTCATTCCATCTGAAGTCCCTGCAAATCACTTATTGCAAGATCTTCTAGAAAAAGGGCGAGAGTCAGCAGAATCCCATCCATGCCAGACTTGTTGCCGTGTCTCAGGTGCCGCGGTCTGCCTTTTGATGAAGCTTTACCAGTCCATGAGTCATGGCAAATGAGGTTCAGTGACCTTGCAAGGCCTTACTGGGGTACCCTTCAAAAACCCTATAGGGTGCTTCAAACTCTGTTGGTGAGTCTAAACATGTTTCAGAAACCTCACGATTCCCCCAGCAAAGCACAGCCCGAACGGACCTTTATTTCCACCGCATGCCACGGGCACATAAGAAATATTAAAAACAAAAAACAAGTCTGAAGTGGTTCCATCGTCTTTAAAAACTATAGTACTCTAACTCGTACAGTACCCAAAATGAATGCAATGCTGCATGCCCCTTTAATTAATTCCAATGAAGGATGGAATGAAGTAGATCTGAAGTAGAATGAAGGTGTTTTTTCTCCGCATGAACGACGTCTTCCTCCCGTTTGGGTCCAAGAAACCCCCCGTCGACCGCCACCACCCGCCACCCCGAGGCACTGAGGTCTGGTGCCCTGCGTCGCTGACGTCCTCGGCTCGAAGCAATGGGCATGGCCCGAAGAAGCAAGGGAAGAAAAACACTTCGAAAAAAACATTCCATGCTTCGAGCAATGGGCATGGGAAGAAAAACACTTCGAAAAATGAAAAACACTTCGAAAAATGAAAAACATGAGCGAAAACGGTTTGGGGTGGCCACTGTGCTGAGAAGCCTTCGGGTGGCTAAACGCTAAAATTAGCTGAAGCTGGTGAGTGAATCGGGAAAAAAAAGGGGGGCCTGAAGAAGGATGGAATCCTTGGCCCATGGTTCTATTTCGGAGGGGACCTGGTTTTTTGCATATATGGCAGTCCCATGGGTCATGTCTGGGATATAAGTGGTGCGTTGGTCTCACTCCTTTTGCGCCCGTAGATGGTCTCAACATGGACTCGCCAAGGAGATGCACGTCTCGTTGCGCCCGCTTGGGTGCCGCAGCGCGCGCAACCCAAAGGTCCTATCAAACCGTAGACTCTTCGGTGCCCTAGGCCCTGTGCGAACCGACCTAACACCGGCAGCAGGCACCACCCGGACCCGAAGTGTTTGGAGTGGCCAAGTGTCCATGACCGCCTGCTCTTCTTGAGTAAAGCCTTGGCGGCATCGGCGTCCGAGCGCTCCAGAAGTGATGCAAACATGGGAGAGAAACCTCCCCGTGAAGAAAACCTCATAACTTCATCCAGCAAACTGGTCTCGAACCAAGTGCTTCCAAGCTGCCCTGCAGCCCGGACCATTCCTCACTCCAGACAATGTCGAGCAGTGCCACCCCACTGTTCCATCTATATATATGAGCAGTGTTTGCATTGTGTGGAGTGTTGTGATTCGCGCAGGCCCGCTTTCAAAGCGTGCACGGTGCACGCGCCACTGGTTTTTCAAGCATGCCTACGCGGAGCATACACGATGCAGTTTTTCTCTTTCTAGGATGTGTTGGAACTACGGGTGCACGGCTACAGTCTACACATGTCTACACAATAACCACCACCACCACCACCACCAACAACAACAACAACAACACCGCCACTACTACTACTACGACGACGACTACTACTACGACGACGACTACTACTACTACGACTACGACTACTACTACTACTACTAGGACGACTACTACTACTACCACCACCACCACCAGCACCACCACCACGACCACCACCACCGCCACCACCACCACCACCTCCACCACCACCACCGGCTGCTACCATCACTGCCACTCCTACCACCACCACCACCACCACTGTCACAGTCAGGCATGTATTCACTCCAAGTTACCCCCAGTGCAGCAGCAAGACTTGTCAGCTAGAAGACTGTCCCAGCAAGACATTGCAATCATGAGACGCAACACATTCAAGCAATCAAACGTTGCCTACGCAAGAAGCCTATGCGAGGTGATATACCCCCAAAAGCCTACGCAGGCCCACAACCCCAAGCAAATTTACGCAAACCAAACACAGTTCAACCTCGATACATAACTCCGTTCATTTACAGAAAAATCAGAAAAACTAACATGATGAGTACATGTCTTGTCAATCATGTATGTGCAGCAATGCTCTGCTCGACAGATCCTTAAAGAAAAAAAACACTGGCGAAAAGGCAAGCCTCTACCACTGGCAGTCCCAGAGCAAAATTGAGATGCTTAATCTATTGGGCTCTTTATCAACACCTCCCTCCCATAGGCCCACATCCGACGCTTGGCCACCTTGTATTTCCTGAGAAGTCCTGCAAATGAATCCGATCTTCTCCCAGACCATCCATGAAACTGGCCGATTCACCGATCCGTTGACTGCGCATCTCGCTTCTTCAGCCACCACACGAACGCCTCGCAGCTCGTACATCCAAGCCTCGCGCTTGGCTCGCATCGCCTGCCGCTTCTCCTCGCGTCGCACGAACGCCTGCGCGCGGGAGCGGCGACCGTCCACCAAGCTCGGCAGGGGGCCTGGGCGTTCCGATCCGATCCGGGCGTCCGATCGCGTCGCTCGGGTCGGCGCGCC